GAGTCACAAAGTCGTTAAGCAAATCTGGCATCCTCCGTGGACTTTGCTTGTCAGAAGCCAGCTAAGAAGGTGGTAAATGGCAATCACATGATCCTGGGAGGGCCGCACTGATGATGTTACCTAGTTTGGTCATGAAACATCTGCAAGAAAACCACCAAGCTCAGAAAGCACCAAGCACCCACAGTTCAACCCTGAGTTACAAATATTCTCTTCTGTCGGTAAATTACTTTGGAACTGAGTATGTAGTAAAGATTTTTGTAAATTGCAAAAGTGTACTTTTTTCAGACTCAATTGCTATCTGCCATACATCTGGCACAGATGTGGACTTAAACTTGAAAATTTGTTCTAAAAGCAAAGGCATTCAGGAGGCACGATTGCTACCTGTGAGGCTAGTTTTCAGTGCTGGTAGTGATACCTCACTTAAAGCCAGATTTAAGTTACAACTTTAAACTTGAAGTATAAATAAGATCGCAGTCCCTAAACTTCCCTTTAGTCCCTTGTAATCCTCACATAGCTTGATCTCTTTCTAATGTTCTTAAGTCACTTTATATTGAACAGAGTAAGAAAGTTGCTCACTCAGAAAGCTGGATCCATGCCCCCATCTTTGCTGTCCTATATTTTCTTGGTTGTAGCTCTATGACAGTGTTTCTCAACTTTGGCAATTTTTAAGGCGTGTGGAGTTGAAGCCCACACACTATAAACTTGCCGAGATTGAGGACCACCGCTCTGTGGGAATGAAAACTATTTCCAAAACAAAATCTGGTGTTAGGACTTCGTTCTGGTGGAGACTTAACCTCTGTGGGGCTAAAACTGTGAATTCTCCAGACCAAACTGATGCCTGACAACTGACCTTCCCCCAGATCCTCTTTTGTAGACATGGCAGACTGCAAAAAGACTCAAAATGCCAGGTTGCATTAAAAACAAACAAACAGATGTTTCTAGATCTCAGGATTCCAGCTCCCAATTTTCACTGAGGCAGGAATGGCCAATGGTTGAAAAACAATCATTTGGACTGCCTAGCTTTGGGATAGAAAATAGTGTTGCAGTTGTGAACCTTTTTAAAACAAGGATGATTAGAGGTGGGCTATTAAGACAAACCAGTTTACCCGGGGTCTCCAGTTTGGGGGCCTTTGGCCCTGAAGAACCAACTGGCAACGAGCAGGTGTTCCCTATTTTTCATAGACTGCACGTGGGTCTTTTCCTATCCCTGCTAACCCACAGCCCATGTATTTCCCATTGCCCTGTTCTTGTCGATAAGTTAATTGTCCAGGGTCAAGGTTATTGACAGCCTGATTAGTGCCCCTGTCAACTCTCTACTACGCTAATCTAGGCGACCACAGCCTAGAAACACCAGCACATTGATTGGGGGGGGGGATTCCCAGTGACCCCCGCACTGACACATTGATCTGGCTCCGGGGAACGGGTGCTCCGTCAACGCCTCGCAGCAAGCCTTCCTGTCCGAACCATTTCTAGTCAACCCCACACTTAGAAGCCAGTCTGGGAGGAGTCAAGGTTTGCCTTTGTAGCCAAAGGACTTTCTTTTATATATATAAAATATCCAGTGCATCGTCCCTTGCTCTAGCCATTAGGCCACAGTTGCCTCCTCCGAAAGGGCCGAAAGAGCAGCGTCTGATCCACTTGCAACCTCAGTTTGAGACCCAGTTTTGAAGTGGGCCACTCTGGAGCTGCACTGCCTGTATGATGATGATAATAACAACAACAACAACAAATATGTTGGAAGGGACCTTGGAGGTCATCTAGTCCAACCCCCTGCTCAACTTAAAGTTGACGAGCTTAAGTTGAGCCTCTTTGATCTCCTTCCCAAATAAGGCCCGGGATAATATAACAGAATAACAGAGTTGGAAGGGATCTTGGAGGTCTTCTAGGCCAACCCCCTGCTCAGGCAGACATTTCAGACAAATGGCTGTCCAATCTCTTCTTAAACACCTCCAGTGATGAAGCACCCACAACTTCTGGAGGCAAGTCGTTCCACTGATTAATTGTTCTAACTGTCAGGAAATTTCTCTTTAGTTCTAGGTTGCTTCTCTCCTTGATTAGTTTCCATCCGTTGCTTCTTGTCCTGCCTTCTCTTTGGAGAATAGATTGACCCCTTCTTCTTTGTGCAGCCCCTTAGACATTGGAACGCTGCTATCCTGTCACCCTTAGCCCTTTTCATTAAACTAGGCATACTCAATTCCTGCAATTGTTCCTCATATGTCCTAGCCTCCAGTCCCCCGATCATCCCCATTGCTCTTCTCTGCACTCTTTCTCAACGTCTTTATTATATTGTGGCGATCAAAACTGGATGCAGTATTCCAAGTGTGATTTTACCAAGGCATTATAAAGTAGTACTAACACTTCACATGATCTTGATTCTGTCTCTCTGTTAATGCAGCCCAGGATTGCATTGGCTTTTTGGCAGCTGCTGGCTCATATTTAAATGATTGTCCGCTAGGAGTCCAAGGTCCCTCTCACAGTTATTACTGTTGAGCCAGGTACCACCTATTCTATATTTGTGCATTTTGGTTTTTCTTGCCTAAACGTAAAACCTTATACTGAATTTCATTTTGTTAGACAGGGCCCAGTTTATATGGTCCTGGAGACCTCAAACCCTTCCTTTGCAGCCCCCCCCCCAGGTTGCCTCTGATTGCTCCTACTAAAAATAACTGGTCACCACTTTAAGGCAAGGCAAACCAGCATCTGGCTTACAATCGCCTAAGGTGCTTCAAAACCTCAAGAAATACTTCAAAAACATTTCCCCAAGGCTAGGTCAAATGCCAGCTTTTCTCAATTTGCATCATGGCAGTTCCTGTTGTGTCTCCCTCCCAGATTTTAAGCATGATGTTCAGCCATCAAAAGCTTTGCCACCCTGATTGAAGGGGCACCCTGATTGTCTCCCTTTGAGGAGACCCCATCTCTAATACTTAATCTTAGGCCTCTTCTACGTTTTCAGGCATCTCCTACCTGGTCCTTAGCAACTTTAAGACGTTAAACTTTAAAGTCATGCTGGCTGGGGAATTCTGGGAGTTGACATCCACAAGTCTTAAAGCAAGGTTGCAGACCCCTGCTTTATGGGACTTTGAGCTGCATTAAGACAGGGAAAACCCTCCCATCAGTTCCACTTGCCAGGGCTCTACTGTAACCGCTGACTCCCCTCAACATTTCATATCCTCCTGTTTTCCTGGAGTGGCTCTCAACTCTTTGCTTCTCCTTCAATCCCAGCTGCTCCTGAGAATGAATCCTAAGAAAGCACCAGGGCATCTGTTGCTACAGCAAATGCATTCTGCCCATCCATTTGTTTCAAAATGCTGTCCTAAGCAACGCCCGCCCGGCTGTTTAGCTTTTCCCAAAGTCAGCCCTTCTCCCCCATTTAATTCCCAGGGCCCTTTGCCCGGAGAACAGAGTCAAGCATCCCTTTTGCAAAATGGTTTTTTTCCTGCCCAGGAAGCCAGGCTTTTGATTGACCCAGAATCCTAGATTTTATTCCATTGTGGCCCCAGAAGGGCGCTCAGAAAAAAGACAATCTTAATAACTCTGCAGAGGAAGACAGAGAAAAACCTGCATAGCTTCCTCTCCAAGGAGATCGAAGATGTAAGAGTTTCTCCCTCTGTCCCCCAAATACACGCTTCCTCCAGCTTTTAAGTTCTCTAGCGCAAGTCTGGGGTTCCCCTTATCCCTCCCACCCCCCACCCCCTGCCATCACTTACACAAATATTGACGCTAATGGCTGTGTAACAGGATGTAGAACATCCCAGCCTTCTAATTGTTGTGACTGGGGATCGGCAGGCCGATTAAACGGCATTGATTTTCTCATACTAACCGCATTGATTTTTAAATTTCCTATTGATTCCTGCCCTAAATCTCTTTAAGCAAAGACTTCACTCCGCAGATGACATCGGCTGATTAGCAGGAACAACTGTGGGTGTGCGCCATCGCCAGGGGTGGGATGGGGAGGGCGGGGGCAAGGGGCAGGGGTGGGTGGGTTAGGTCGATTCTAAAGGGGGGCTGAGAATCAGGAGTGCGGAAAGATGAGTGGGCAGAAAAGGGCTACAGGTGGAAAGGAAAGATTTTGGCCTAAGTCACTGAAGCCGAAAGGCAAGGTGTATTTTGGAATAATGGATGTGTGTATGTGTGGGGGAGTCACAAGTGCGCTTGTGAATTCTTCTGCTGGTCCGTGGCAAAACCGAAAACCACTTTTATTCACACAACAGCCTCTCTCTTCCTTTTTTCACAGGAGTACTTTGAAATATTTGCTGTGGGGACTGCCAAAAAAGAAAAGAGAGAAAAAAGATAGAGGAAGATATATTTCTCCTTATCCTTTTCCAAGACTGGTCTTGACAAATTTCCCTGGCTTTTTTTAGGGTTGAAATATTTATTTCTGAGAATAGCCCTGACTTCAAAAAAACAGAGGCCCTTTGTATCCATTTTTGTGATACCGGGCATGTTTAGCTATGTATAGCTCTATCTATATCGGCATGCATACAGGTAGTCCTCAACTTACAACAGTTCGTTTAGTGACCGTTCGAACGGCACTGAAAAAAGGGACTTACAACCGTTTTTCACACGCACGACCGTTGCAGCCATCCCGATGGTCACGTGATCAAAATTCAAAGGCTTGGCAGCTGACTCATATTTATGATATTTGCAATGTCCCGGAGTTACGTGATCCCCTTTGGGAACCTTCTGACAAGCAAAATCAATGGGGAAGCCAGTTTCACTTATTAACCGTGTCACTAACTTAACAACTGCAGTGACGCGCTTAACAGCTGTGGCAAGAAAGGGCGTAAAGTGAGGCAAAACTTACTTAACAAATATCTCAGTTAGTAATGTCGGTCTCAGTTGCGGTCACAAGTCGAGGGCTGCCTGTAGTTGCTGCAGTGCATGCACAGATGTTGCACTTTGGAGTGCCACTTTTTCAGTGGGCACCAGTGTGTCATCTCCAGTGGCTTTCTTACCCACAACGTGCTCATTTTCCTAACACAGAGTTTTTCTCTCTTTAGGTGCTGGACTGGACTGGAGTGAATGTACTACAGCTGCTACTTCTGCCTCAAAGGTCAGTGATTCTCTGAAGTCTGTTTCTGGGGCCAGTGGGGAACCGGCTGAATTCCCCTCCTAAAGAAAAAAAATAGAGGAAACACCTGCTATAAAAAAACAACAAGAAAAAACCCACATTTTTATTACACTTCTCTTACAGATATATGCAGAAATCTAATACAGGTAGTCCTCGACTTACACCAGTTCATTGAGTATCCGCTCAAAGTTACAACAGCACTGAAAAAAGGGACATGACTGTTCCTCACACGACTGTTGCTGCATAACCACGATCAAAATTCAGACACCTGGCAACTGACTCATATTTATGATGGTTGCAGCATCCTGGGGTCATGTGATCACTCTGTGTGACTTTCCGACAAGCAAAGTCCATGGGAGAAGCCAGATCCACTTAACAACCGTGTCACTAACTTAACAACTGCAGTGATTCCCTTAACAACGGTGGCAAGGAAGGTTGTAAAATGGGGCAAAATACACTTAAGAAACGTCTCATTTAGCAATATGAATTTTCGACTCAGTTGTGGTCGTAAGCCGAGGACTACCTGTAATGGCTTTCCTGGGAAAATTGATGGACAGAAATAACTTGGGGCAGAGAAGCATTCTATGGAGAGAAGCATTTCTCTCCAACTGAAGCCCTCTAGAGATCTTTTGGGCTAAAACTGGATTTTTCTCACAGGATACGGTCAACTTTATATCTATCCGTGATGCACATGAAAACAGATAAAGTTTTGATTCCACTGGGGCAGCTGCCCTTTTTGACTTTCTGGACTACACCTGCAGTTGCACACCTCTGGCTACAAGTCTCACCCTCCCCCATCAGCGTGGCCATTATATTTGCTTGAGGGTATTGATCCCTGTAATCAAATCGATTTAGACCAGTGGTTCTCAACCTTTTTAATGCCACGACCCCCAACCGATTGTAAGTTGAGGACTACTCAACCGGTCGTAAGTCGAGGACTACTCAACTGGTGCAGCACCGTTTGCAGAATGGGTCTTTTGGTGGGCTCAGCAGGGCAGAGACAGCCTGGACAATTCCTATTGGCTTTTGAAAGCCAATAGAATTAGACTCTATTCAAGAGAGTCTATTCTATTGGCTTTCAAAAGCCAATAGAATCAAAGGGAGTAGTACAGCTAAGGAAAAGGGGAAAAAAATGGCGGACTGCGTTGTTTGGCGACCCCTGTGAAATGGTCGCTCGACCCCAAATGGGGTCCCGACCCACAGGTTGAGAACCACTGATTTAGACAGTTTCAGGTTGGAGAAAAATGACCTAGGCCAGGGGTAGGCAACCTTGGCTCTTTTATGACTCGTGGACTTCAACTCCCAGAATTCCTGAGCCAGCATGGCTCAGCATGGAAAGCTCTCCCTTTCCCCTCAGCGTGGCTGGCTCAGGAATTCTGGGAATTGAAGTCCACGAGTCATAAAAGAGCCAAGGTGGCCCACCCCTGACCTAGGAGTTTATGGAATGTATAATCCTTTTTTGACCTACTCCGTCACTCCATGCTGTTCCCTGAGTCAGATGCCATCATCCCAGCTCCAAATAGATCAGGTAGTCCTCACCTTACGACCATTCTTATAGCAGCTCTTTGAAGCCACGACGACTTATGACAGGTCTTCGTACTGGTGATCCTTGCAGCATCCCCACCATTACGTGATTAAAATTTGGTCGCTTGGCAACCAGCATGCATTCACCAGGGCTGCTGCGTCCCAGGGGCCTGCAATCGCCATTTGCAATCTTCTCAGCTGGCTTCCAACAGGCAAAGTCAACAGGGGAAGCTGGATTCGCTTAAAGACCACGATTCACTTCACAACTACAGTGATTTGCTTAATAGCCGTGGCAAACAAAACAAACAAACAAAAAAAGATTGTAAAAACAGCTAGGGCTTACTTAACAACCGGTTTAATGAGCAACAGAAATTCTGGTCCCAATTATTGTCGTAACTCGAGGACTACCAAGAGAGGTTCTCGTAGGATAGAGGGGAAGTGAATTTGAGCCAGGCAGTGAAGAATGTAGATATTCTTCAACCGCTTTTTCCCTGAAAAATTGGACTGCTCATGCTGGCGGGGGAATTCTGGGAGTTGAAGTCCACATATCTTAAATTTGCCAAGGTGGAAAACATTGCCCCAGAGCAGGGGTAGGCTACCTTGGCTCTTTTATGACTCGTGGACTTCAACTCCCAGAATTTCTGAGCCAGCTATGCTGAAGGGAAAGGGAGAAGTTTCCAAGCTGAGCCATGCTGGCTCAGGAATTCTGGGAGTTGAAGTCCACGAATCATGAGGGAGCCATAGATCCCCCATGCTGGCTCAGGAATTCTGGGAGTTGAAGTCCACGAGTCATAAAAGAGCCAAGGTGGCCTACCCCTGCCCCAGAGGAATAAACCTTAACATGATCGTGAGAAAAAGCCCTGAGCCTCCTTTCAGTTCTGTCTGTCCTGTGTTCTCCTATCTCATCTTTCAAGTTTTCTTATTATCCCCTCCTTGTCATCAGTAGCACTAACTGATGCCCTTCTAGAAGCACTCTTAAGCCCGGGGTGCACCAATGATCCTTTACCATCCTTCATATGGATCAGTGGTTCTCAACCTTTCTAATGCCGTGACCCCATAATACAGTTCCCCATATTGTGGTGACCCCCAACCGCTTATACATCACCGGGTGCCAGGGGCGTGGCCAAAGAAAAGGGGAAAAAAATGGCGGACAGCCTTGTTTGGTGACCCCCGTGAAATGGTCGTTCGACCCCAAATGGGGTCCTGACCCACAGGTTGAGAACCACTGATATGGATGCTGTAGGTTTTTGCATGCTGCAGGCACAAAATAAAGACATAATATTCAATAGTCCCATCAAAGCAGGACTCCCAAGACGTTACAGAGCAGGAGTCTCTAAACCTGGCCACTTTAAGACTTGTGGACTTCAACTCCCAGAATTCCCCATTCAGCATGGCTGGCTGTGGAATTCTGGGAGTTGAAGTCCACAAGTCTTAACAGTTGCCAAATTTGGAGACCCCCTGTACGGAGGAAGCCCTAATGGTTAAACTGCATAAAACTAAAGACTAGACAAGTTCAAAGTGTGTGAGGGAAATATTGTGTGAGGGAAATATTTAAAAAAAAAAAAAAACAATGCCAGCTGAAAAGATAGAAGGCATTCTTAATGGAATAAAAATGCAAGGATTTTGGAATTCTTTTTCATGTCTGCTATAGCTTCTCTACATAACACTTTCTGCTGGCAGCTCCAAACAGTAAATATGTCGCGGAGCTCAAAATCAGCCTTGTATAACCTGGTAGTGCCCTCCAGATCTGCTGGGTTACAACTCCCCATTGTCCCTTAACATGCTTAATGTCTGCAGAAAGCAACAGGTTGAGGAAGGTTGAACTCAATCGAATCTCCTGTGGAAATTCTCTTCTGAGGACAGCTGCCCTAGTGAGGAAGGCTGTTTAATCCTTTCTTCCTTCCCTAATCCATAACTGCTGTTAGCTATACAGAGGAAAATATATAGGCGCAACCCAGATGAATGTTTTCTCCTTGGCAGCTAACAGCAGCTGCTATCTCGATATGTGATTTGCAGTCTGGAATCAGCATTATCAGGGCGGTTAAGTCTGCTGCCCAAACCTTAGTTCTACTAAATCTACCTGTGGCTCTTAGTGGGCAAAAAAAAAAAAAAAAAAAAGGAAAAAGAGACTGAAAGATGTTGGGAGTAGTATTAATAGAACTCTGAGGTCATATCTGGTTTGATTGTAAGCAAGAGCCATCGCTATGAGAGAGACAGAGAGAGAGAGAGAGAGAAGGAAGGAGAGAAGGAGAGGAAGAGAGAGAGAAGGAAGGAAAAAGAGGGAGAGGGAGAGAGAGAAGGAAGGAGAAAGAGGAAGAGAAAGAAGGAAGGAGAAAGAGGGAGAGGGAGAGAGAGAGGAAAGAGAAAGGGAGGGGGAGAGAGAGAAAAGGAAGGAGAAAGACAAGGAAGGAGAAAGGGAGAGAAGGAGAGAGAAGGAAGGAGAAAGAGGGAGAGAGAGAGGAAGGAGAAAGGGAGAGGGGGAGAGAGAGAGAAGGAAGGAGAAAGAGAAGGTAGGAGAAAGGGAGAGGGAGAGAGAAGGAGAAAGAGGGAGAGAGAGAGAGAGGAAGGAGAAAGGGAGAGGGGGAGAGAGAGAGAAGGAAGGAGAAAGAGGGAGAGAGAGAGAGAGAGAGAGAAGGAGAAAGGGAGAGGGGGAGAGAGAGAGAAGGAAGGAGAAAGAGAGAGAGAGAGAGAGAGAGAGAGAAGGAAGGAGAAAGAGAGGCTTTTTCAGCAGATGATGACTTTGATTACCTTACAAGGTGGCTTGAGCATCAGGGATGAATCCTTACATTTTAGAGCATGCGTTCTGGAAAGCATATATTACCAGTCTAGACAAAAGCCATTGTTACTCTTCACAGATTGACTGCTCTCCTGAAATTCTCTTTTGCCCTTTCTTCAGAACCACCCTACTATTTCCAAGCCAGAAATAGTGAACAAGAATCCACAAGAGTAGTGAGGTGGGTTAAGTTTTGGGCTAGCCACAAGGGTACCTAAGTTTTGGCTCACCCTGTTCTGGAAACTCATTGCCTGCCTGAACCTTCTTCTTTCAGCCAATTCTTAGAATGGATGTGCAGGGAAAAAATTGGAGGAGACAGTGCTATTGTCATCATCTTGAACTCCAGGCGGCAGTTTAAAATACGAATTTTAACAAATAAATGTGTGGAAGGAAGCTGGGAGATTGGAGAAACATGATAGCTTTGACTGGCATGTTGGGACCTGCTTCAACAGTAGACTCTATGTGGTTGGTTAGATCCATAGGCACCCCCAATGGACGATAAGAAACCTTGGGTGTTTGGTTTGCCAACACTTAAATGCTTGATGCTAGTGTTTCTCTGTGGATGCTTAAAGAAAGGATGGGGTCTGTAAATCAGGTATTACCATAGTTAATCTTCTCAGATTAGTTTAACGTGTGAAGAAGCTACAGTGCTAAATAATGTGATTGAAAGATGTGTGAGGGAGCTAGGAATTCCAGCTGTGTCTGGACAGTGGTTCCTTTGGTATCCTGTAGAAGTCAAGACTCTCTCAAAACTGAGCAGAAACTTGATGGGATTGGTTGTGCTTGCTGGCATTTTTGTTGTGTGTACACTTTCTTCCATCCTTGCTTGGTGGCCAGAGATTATAAAAAGTGCCATATAAACAACCCCATCGCCTCATGACCACCATCCAATTATTTTGCTCAGGTTTGTAATGTTGCCTGTAATTCAAATGGAAGAGCAAGGATTGAGAACAGAACTTTGTCTATCCAACCAAACCTTTACAATACAGAGTTTCTTTGAAGTGGCAAGGGATATGGCCTTGGCCTCCTTTATTGGCCTCTAATCCAGAGTCAGAATAATTGGATAAAACATATTTGTGCATCCGATTCCTACAGAGTATCTGTTTCATTTAGTGGGGGCCCTGATTCCCTGGTTCTTTCAAATAAAAGCATTATCCTGTTCCACGTTTAAAAAAATCCAGAATTGCCTTTATTGAATAGTTTGCATGCATGAAGCAACAGACCGTACAGTTTTCGGAAAGTGACATAGATTACCGAGTGGGGTTTCCTTGCACACCAGCCCTCTGCCCAGTTTTATTGGCCTCTGGAGGAAAAAGTGTGAAGATTTAGGATGATGTCTTTGCTAAAAGTAGAAAGGATTGTCCCCAAAGCCTGCTGCTGACATCAATACCCATGACAGGAATAAAGTAAAACACAGAGACCCTGCCACATGTTGAAGGTTTAGCCCAGATGTTTCGCTTCTATGTTATACAGGCAGTGCTTCCTTTGGCACCTTCACTATTGTCCTTTTGCAGCAATTGTTATTTTTTTTTTTTTAAAAAATATCTTTGGATAAGAAAAGTGCACTGAGGATATTATCGAAAGCTTTTTAAATACCTCCCCACTTGTACCCTAAAAAGAAAAAAAAAAGAAAGGAAAAAAATGATGATTTTTTTTCCCCCTCCTACATTCAGTGATGACACCCTAGTGAGTATTCTGTATCAACAAAGCAGGTCCATCTTCCATTCTTCTCTCTTTGTTGCCTCAATGCCCTTTTAATTTTATTTTACTTTCTGGAAGAGAAGAGCCATTCTGATTAAATTTATCTCTTTAAAAAAAAAAGGATTACCTCTTCCTTTCAAGGCTCTGTTAAGGTTTTTCTCTGTAACTGCTGGGAAATTAGTAAACAGCATTTTAAAAAAAACACACAAAAACCTGCAGTATTTTAGCAAGGCTCTAGAACAGTGGTTCTCAACCTTTTAATGCCGCGACCTCCAACCGGTCATAAGTCGAGGACTACTCAACTGGTCGTAAGTCGAGGACTACTCAACTGGTGCAGCACCATTTGCAGAATGGGACTTTTGGCGGGCTCAGCAGGGCAGAGACAGCCTGGACAATTCCTATTGGCTTTGAAAGCCAATAGAATTAGACTCTATTCAAGAGAGTCTATTCTATTGGCTTTCAAAAGCCAATAGAATAAAAGGGAGTAGCACAGCTAAGGAAAAGGGGGGAAAAATGGCAGACTGCATTGTTTGGCGACCCCCGTGAAATGGTCGTTCGACCCCAAATGGGGTCCCGACCCACAGGTTGAGAACCACTGCTCTAGAATTAAGAATCGTGATAAGGATCATTCCTGATTTTTTAGCATCTTTTTTAGAGAGTCCACAAAACATCCAGTTAGATTATTAGATCATTTTATGGGCGAGGGGTGGGGGAATCAAATCCTCATTGATGTTATACGCTATTGAGTTACATAGCTCTTTAAACTTCCAAAGTTTTGGAGTGGGGTTAGGTTGCTATTAAGCATAGATTAAGTTTGTGTAGGAAGAGAGTTGAGACTGCATCTTTTTTATTCTAATAGTTGTTTAAAAGGCAAAGAGATAATCAGTCAGCAATGGGAGGGATGTTGCATATTTCCCAACCTTTAATTCTCAGTGAAGGGAGAAAAAAATTCTAAATAAAAGTTAGTATATTATTTAGAACTGTAGAGGCCTTGGATGGGCAAAAACAACAAGAATGCTTTCTCAAGTATCCATTTTACAGGATGGTTTTTAATATTTCAACTCATCTATACACATGTTCTGTGATCATTTTTTTTGTCTGATGCTACTAGTTCTGATTTAAACGATTCAGGTAACAGCGGATGTGATGGCTTTAGTTTAGTAAGAAAGATCTATGGATAATAGAATAACAGAGCAGGAAGGGACCTTGGAGGTCATCTAGTCCAACCCCCTGCTCAGGCAGGAAACACTATACCATTTCAGACAAATGGCTGTCCAGTCTCTTCTTAAAAACTTCCAGTGTTGGAGCACCCACAACTTCTGAAGGGGAGTCCTTCCACTTATTAATTGTTCTCACTGTTAGGAAATTTCTCCTTAGTTCTAGGTTGCTTGTGTCCTTGATTAGTTTCCATCCGTTGCTTCTTGTCCTGCCTTCAGGTGCTTTGGAAAATAGCTTGACTCCCTCTTCTTTGGGGCAGCCCCTGAGATATTGGAAGACTGTTATCATGTCACCCCTAGTCCTTCTTTTCATTAAACTAGGCATACCCAATTCTAGCAACTGTTCCTTATATGTTTTAGCCTCTAGTCCCTTAATCATCTTTGTTGCTAATAATTAGATAATTAGATCGTTGTTTTTTTTTTTTAAATTCCCTATCAAAAAAAAAAAACGGGTTTGTATCCATCTTTTAGTTGGATGCAAGCATCTAGGAATTTAGACTGCCCATACAATTCTGGGTAGCAGGAAACATTCTGTCAAGCCCAACAACCACGTATGGTTAGTCCCTCTTCTTTCATCTTCTAAGAAACAGGATGTGCCATGGAGTGTCTGTAGTTATTATCTACATCTTTTAATTGTGTGGAAAACCGTTTTGCACTCAACTGTCTTTGAACTGCAGCTAGAAAGCTGGGTTAATTAGCACATACACACATGCACACCTCTCTATGTTCTCTGGAGAAGAATGAAGACCCAGAGAACAGCATGAATGGGTGCTTTCACTGAAAAGGACTTTAGCAAAATGTTATCAAGCAGGCCCTAGTTTTGAAACAATTTTAAAACCAGTTTGTAATATAGCATGAAGGAGGACCAGCGTATGTGAAAAAAAAAAATTGTTGAAAATCCCACTGGCTTTGAGCTCAGCTAAAGAAACTCATTGAACGTCAGGCTATATTATATATATTTTAAAAACCCCTCTTTTTATCCATTATTCCATGCCATCTTCCTTTCCAGCTCCGATTTTATCTTCTCCCATGCTTGAATACTGGCTGTAGAGAAAAAAAAGGAGTATAAATTGAAAGAATACATAAAGGTAATAGTAAATACTTTGGGCAGCCATTATATTGGAAAGCAGTTATTTTGAACAGTTACTTTTACTGTCTCTCCCCTTCTGATCTCGGGGATTTGGGGCAGGCTGCATAATAAAAACACCCCTGTTCAATTTGTGCTCCCCTATTGTGCCTGTGCAACTACACTGCTAGTACAAAATGGGTGGGGACTGAAAACAAATACACATCCACCGTAATTTTTAAAAACAGAGTATTTCGTTTGTCTTGGGCTGAAAGGGAAAAGGGGGAAGGTCTCTGGAGATCAGAGAGAAAAGCATTTTTTTCCACAGGCCACCCTCGTCTGGGGAGAAGCATTTTGAATCTTGTTAATCTAGGTTTAGGAAGTGGGACAACACAATTCTCAAGATACATTTAAATCACACGTATGGGCCGTGGCACTTTCACTGGTTGAAGTGGCCCTGGTGAAAACAGCACACTTCTTATTAGGTGACCCTGCTTTGTACGGTTCTTTCCCCCCCCCCCCTTTTTTTTTTGTAGGGTAGGTGGCAGATTTGTGATAACTCAGCTCCTCTTTCCAGCAGTGATTTATTATTAGCGTGTACAGACCTTTCTTTTCTCCCTGGAAGCCGGAATGGAACACAACTACAGCCTCTCTTTCCCCTGGCTTCTTCTTCCGATGAAGTCAAAGGCAAATTCGTTTTGGCTTTTGTTATAATATAAGGGGAACATCTCTTACAATGGGTTGGGATTGTGTAGGTGTGTCCTGTGTGACCTAGGCACAGGGGAGAGGAGGGGGGAAAGAGAGAAGAAACATATTAACCCTCCCAAGACACCCACCACATACTTTAAGGCTACCGGCAGTTAATTTTTGACCTCCATCGGGTGGTCCTGAATCAAGTAATTGCCCGCCTCCTCTTTCTGCTCTTTTCTCTCCTCTCTTTTCACTGGCGAAACCCTCTTTCCCCCCCCTCTGCCCTATACATATTCATCTATTTGCCCCACCATCAATCTGATCTCTTTCTATATCTCACAATATATATACACCCTCTCTCCTTCTCCCTGTCAGTAATATATTTCCATCCCATTTCCTGTCCATCCACCCACCGACCCTCACTCTTCCTCTTTATATATTGGGCCCGGCATTCTTTCTGCCTTCCCTACCCCACTCACTGTATGACTGCCTTAAGCCTCCTTAAGTCTACTTTCCAGGATTGGGGGGGGGGGAAGAGAAGAAAGAGGAGTGGGTGTCAAAGGGTGCGCAAAAGGGGAGCTCCCATGGGGCGCAGACATAGCTTTGGCGGGTTTCCATTGCCTTTGGGCCCCGGGTTGGCAATAGGCTGCCGATCAGGAGTTGCAAAACTAGAGTAAGGTTCACCTTTTGTCTGGTGGAATAAACGGGAGAAGCGAGGAAGACGAGGAAGACGGAAATATTAGGATCTTTGCAGAGGGGGCAATGATGAGCAGCCTTAGGTTTGGGGGGAGGCGGCATGGGCCCCGAGCCCTCCATGTTCCCGTTCAAACCCGGTGGGCTTAGCGCCGAAAGGATTGGGGAGCGGAAGGAGGCGAGGAGGAGTCGGGGACGGAGGAGGCGAGGGGTCCTGCTTCCCTCTCCCAAATCGTGAAAAACAGAAAGAGGCTCTCGGCACGAGTCGGAATAAGTCGGCGGCGGTTCGGGCCCAAGAACCGAGTGGCCGGATCCAGGAGACACGAAGCCTCCGTCCTTGGTGGCCGCTTCGAGGGAAGCGACCGAGGCCCTCCGGCCGGTGTGGAGCCGCTCCTGGCCTCCCTTGACCCCGAAGGGGGCCGAAGGGAGGGTAGGAGGGCACGGCCGCCTCTGCCCCGGGTGTCCTTCCTGGGGGGGGGGTGGAGGGCGAGGTGGGGCGACGAGGCCTTGCCTGGGCGCGGACGAACCGGACGGCGCGGCGAACGGAGAGCTTGTCCTGGATCCTGGAGGAGTCGCCCGGCCTCGCTTTCTCTCCTCCAGAGAAACAAGCCGGGGCAAACGACGGGGCCGTTCCGGGAGAGGCGAAGGCGGCGTGAACTCTGCAACGAAAGTGGGAGAAAAGCCAGGCCGGCCGGGTGGAAGCCGGTGGCGGGGAAGAATTATGGCTTGCAACCGCCCCCCATCCCACCCCGCCTAATTATGTATCCTGGGGGCTGGGGAGGGAGGGGGGGGGAAACTGGAAGGTCACCCCTTTATTATCGCGGTGCTTTGCAGTGATTATCCGTGTAAATCTCTCCCGTAATAATAAACCTGGAAAGAGCCGCTATTGGCGGCGGCGGGGGTGGGGTGGGGTGGGGGGTGTTGGAGGTGACACGTTAATTTAAGGAAGCCGGAGGAGAAAGTCCGCGGCGATTAAGGCAGCTTTATTTTTAGCGCCACCAAAGCGGAGTTTGACCCGCAAGAAGGTGTCAGGTGTGTGTGGGTGTGTGTGCGCGCGCGGGGGCGCGCGGGTTGGTGTTAATTTTTGAAGCCGGAAGGGCAGGCAAAAGAAAAGATTATTTGCTGGGAGAAGGGTGGCGGGTTCCACCCCCCCCCTGTAATTCTCTCTTTCCCCAATTCTTCTGCTTCCCCTCCTCTTTTTTTTCTACACCCACAGTAAGCTTTACACCTCAGGAGTAATTGCTTTTGTCTGGGTAAGGGCTGTACTTGTGCAAAGAGTGAAGAAAGAAAGAAAGAAAAAGGGGGGGGGTGTATATTGGAAGCGGAGGACCCCGTGGGGGGGGGGAGACTGAGAGGGACGGCAAGTCGCTTGCTTGGATGTCATCTGTCAAAGCGGGGTGGTTGGAAGGCGAGAGGGAGGGGGCGAGGGGGGGGAAGAAGCGCGCGCGAGATAACGGAGAAGACAATAAAGTGGGAATCGCGGGCGGCGAGTGATGGGAGGGGGCCAGGCGGAGAGGAGAGAGGAGAAATTCGGACCAGGCTAAGGGGGGGGGCAGTGTTCTCTGAACGGGGGCAAGACAAACACGCATTCACAGGCATTGTGGCGGCGGGGGGGCGCGATCGGCGTTTCACATTCGCGCACGCATGCATGCTTTCCACCTCCCTTTCCTTTGCCCCCCCTCTCTTTTTGTTTTGTTTTGTTTTGTTTTGTTGCAAAAGCCTTAAAATGATCCGCACGGTCCCGGTCCTGGTCGAGTGACCAAACCCCGCGCGGCCCTTACCAAGCGGACACGCACGCACGCACACACACATAACACACTTGTCTGGCTCCAGACCCGTGCACGCACGTGTGTAAGCGCCGAAAGCGGAGCGTTGCTGGAGGGAGAGAAGGGCGAGCTCTGTCCCGTTCCCACCCCCTCTCCTACCCCCCCCCCCACCCCCCACCTCCCCGCGCCGGTTGTCACTCTCGGGAGAGCGTCCCCCGTCCGGCGTGTGTCTCCCCCACCCCGCGCCCGGCTCCCTTTGCCGCTCGCCTGCCCCCCCCCCATCCTTATCTCTCTCTCTCTCTCTCTCTCTCTCTCTCTCCATCTATCTTTATATTATTTTTTTTCCCTCCGTGGGGTTATGCGGAGTGTCACTCACAGGTCCTCGCAATGTTCATCCCGCTGCCGGTCCCCTTGGTCTTCCAAAGATCCGCCGGCCCGGAGCACGGATGGCGCCTCAAATCGCCGCTCGCCCTGCGCTCTGCAAACGGTAAGGAGGCAAGCGAGAGGAAGGAAGCCGGGCGAGAGAGGGAAGGGGAGCCCCCAAAGAGGGCGCGGGACCCCCGGCCCGGCTTGCGAAGGCCAGCCCAGGGCAGCGAAAGGCGCCCCCCCCCAACTCTTCCTGCCCGGCCGCCGAAGAGGAGACGAGAGAGGAAAGGAGGGGAAAGCAGAAAGTGGCGAGGGGCGAGCGGGTTTTTATTCAGGCGGTATTGATCCGGAGTGTCACTGCTCCGTATCGAACCTCCGGCGCCGGCATCCTGCGGTCGATAGACGGAGGGGGTGGGGGGCAGAGGGGGTGGATGGTAGCGGCGGCGGCAACAGCAGCGGGAAGAGGCGAAGAGCCAGCCGACGGCCGAAGGCGCCGACGGCGCGGACGCCGGTCGGAAGAGGCCCGGGCAAACGCGGGGCTGGGGAGGGAAGCCCTTCTCTGGCTGGCGGGGAGGGAGGGAGGGGGGGCGGGAGAACCGGCTGGCTCCTGTCCCTCCCCCGCCCCAGCCGTCGCGGTCCCAGCAGCAGAGCAGCCTTAGAAGTGCAATCGCGGCGGTTTCCTTCTCCTTAAAAGCGCTTCCCGCATCCCCCCCCCCCAACTGCGAGGTTGGAAACAAACCAAGGTTTTGACTGCTGGGGGATCGGGAGGGGGGGGTTGGAAATTTGGAGGAGGGGGAGAATTTTCCGGGACCAGGGGGAATTGGGGGGGGCAGAGGTGAGCCGTAGAGAGGAGACACTTGTGAGATCCTAGCAGAAACCCCAAGCCCCCCCCCCAATGCTCATCTGTCTCAGCACATCAAAATCCCTCCCCCCCCCAATACCTGGTTGGAATTTCAGGTGCAACCTCCATCCTGCAGTTACTCTGATCCAGTAATTTCTGTTTTAAGTTGTCAGTGGTGCCCCATCTCTCCCCCCCCCTCTGTTTAATCATGTTTAGTTTACCTGTTCCTGTTTAAACCTGAGCAAGTTCTTTCCATGTTAATGATTCTCACAGAGCCCTCCTCTAGCCACTTCGAAGGGAATTCTAGACTTGTGAACGAAGCTCTGTTCTTAGTCTCCATGGAGTTTTCTAGGTGGGAGCAATAAATATGCCTGCTGGCTTGGGCTTTAAGGAAAAAAAACAAAACCATTATTGTCCCCTCTCCAAATTGCAGACCGTTTTCTGGGCTTCCTGCTCTCCCCAGTTTTCAAGCATTCAGCCGCCAATCTGGGGGTTTAATCTCCACACTTGGTAGGAAGTTGCTCTGCTTCCTTTTGTTTAGCTGCTTCAAAACCTTATGCTCACCACCACCACCACCACCTCCTCCTCCTCCCCCCCCCATCATTCATAGAGATCTGGGTGGTTATTAAACAGATGTTTAATTAAACATTACTGAAGTCAAAAGATAAGCAGAGTGGGTTGGTGAGGCTGACCCTGCAGGGGAGGAGAGTTGTTGGGGACTAGTGGTTAGAGCAAAAAGCAACAGGGCTGATTTATTTGGGAGCTGGAGTCCCTTGGATCTATGAAAGACATTTTTAAGTGACCTTGGGGAAAATGTATCTTCTGGCTCTTAAGATTATGAGGTGGTAGATTGGATGGGGCCCGGATGGATGCAGCATGCCGGAACTGGCATTCATTGTCGGCCTCTTTTTTATCTCCTGCTTCCCAAAGTTAAGAGGAGAACCAGGCGTTTGGATAACGGATGCTTCTACTATTACCCAGCTGATCCTGGGAGAGTCATCTTTCCTCATAGATTGGACAGATGAGATTTAGGAGTTGCTAGGAATGGGGAAGGGTCAGAAATACAGGCAGTGGGACATCCGTGGGTGAGCCGGGAAAGAACCCTAAGAAAGTGCAAAGGCAGGCTGGGATGTGATCTGGGCAAATAAAAACCAAGAGGCGATTGCAGAATCTGCTCTTGACACATTCTTCCTCCTCCTCCTCCTCCTCCTCCTCCTCCTCCTCCTCCTCCTCCTCCTCCTCCTCCTCCTCGTAGGCTGGCAGGGTGGGGGGGTTCAGAGAAGTGGCTGCAGAGCTGGCCATCTGTGTGCACCCCTCCCCCAGCACTGCTGCAGCCAGCTTGGTGTGGAAATTGTATTGGTGTCAAGCCCAGTCCGTGCTAATGAACCTGGAGGTCTGGGAAGTGAAGCTTGTTCAGAAGCAGAAATCGATTTTCCAGCCTGTAGTAACTGCCCCCCCCCTCCACCCCCACATCCTCTCTCTCTCTCTCTCTCTCTCTCTCTCTCTCTCTCTCTCTCTCTCTCTCTCTCCCTGGACAGAGTAGTAAATGTGTGTGTGTATACCTGCACATGTATGAAGGTCTGTGTCCTTGGTGCTTTCTTAGGTAGGGCTGGAAATGGGATATCCCAAAACCCAATCAAGCTCTGAAGTTGTTGTAATGAGGTGTAGGAAACCTGGGTGTTCTTTATACAGGAGCAAGGGGGAGATGAGGAGAGGCATAAGATGACTGTGACTTTGGGTTTGTGGATTCTTTTTTATTTTGGGGATCATTGTTCACATTACACGCAGAAGGCAAAGGATAAATCCCAATCAAGAGGGCAATTGAGATTCTCAAAATGTGAGGAGGACCAGATAGTCTTTTGGTTTTGGGAACATATTTGGAGAAATCGGTCTGAAACTCAGGTCCAAATGGCCAACCAGATGCGCTGAGACTGGGGATATATATCACTCTGTCCTCTCTTGTGTTGCTGTGTGTGGGTGTGCGCGTATGTGTGCACTCACTGGTGTGTGTATATTTACAGGGATCTTTGTCACTGATACCTCATAAAATTGTGTCTTTTCCAATGTTGCATAGTTGCTTTATGCTGTGATTCATATGTGGTTTCTCCCCCCCATCCTTTTAAAAGTGTTATTAAAGGAGGATTTGTTTTTCTTTCCCCTTATCTTTAATTTGAATGAAAATCCATAGTATTTTTTAAAAAAAGAAACAACAGTTGATAGGTTTAAAAATCCACATACTAAAATGTCCTTTTCGATGCTGTATTTTAAAACTTCAGGGGTTCATAATTGGATAATGCTTTTATTGCCTGGTTTACTAATAGGATAAGGTAGAAAGCTTTTAAGTTAGACAAACCTGCACTTCAAATCATTTTTAGTATCTGTCTTTGTACATTAAATGGCCAAAATATGAGAGTGCGAGAAGAATGAAGGTATTCCAATGGAAAATAAAACAATCCCTGTGTCCATTGCAAAAGGATAAAAATTTAAAAGACCACCTTCTATAGACCTTCATCAGACTGTGCCTCTAAAATGCTCCCTAAATGCACAGTTTTCGATTTGAGTAACCATGCCTATTGGCAGCTGTTGAGATTTAAATTTGAATTTCACTTCTACATTTTTCATTTGACTAAACTTTGATTTGGGTTCCACAGCTTTGCATTGGAAATCTTGTTTACTTTGCTTTGAGGACTGATTAAAATCAAAACATGCCTCTATCTGGGGAAAAAAAATTCTGAACATAAGTTATATTTTGAATTCCTTTCTACTCAGTTGACACTAGCAAGTAATATATTTGCTAATAACGCGCTGAGTCTTTTACAAGCATTAAACCTTTCTGAATTTGAAGGACAAATTTCCAAACTCAGAGAGAAATTGGGTGAACACGCCTTGCTTGGGGTTTTGCTATGCTATTTTGTAATGAAATATAAACTTTATATTCTACACAATGCTTTATGAGACGCTCCTGGTACTTAAAAGCTATAAAGTACACCAAAGCCAGCTGACCAGTTCAAAGACATGGTGATAACATTTGCTTCTTCGCACCACCATTTCCATGGTATGACTGCCACATGATCAAACAGTGGGATGCTTTATACTTCCTGAATTCACATATGAATGCTCAGGGGACAGTTGTGATGCTGAGTTTACACAACACACTAAGTCCTAGATCTGGGTGAGGAGAACGCAGCCACCATGTTCGGCGCGCAAAGAAATGAAACACATTATAGTTTAACGATGGTCTGTTTTTTATAGTAATATCTCCCGAAATCTTTCTCTTTCTTCCTAGCATTTTCGTGCAAGTGCTTTTTTCTGATCAACCAAGTGTTGATCTGTTTGGTTGCTATAGGAATCGACTGACAGGCTTGTCACTGGAGCCTGATGTCATGGTTTGAGAGAGAGGGACTGGCCCAAAGTCACCCAGGCAGGTTTCATGCCTAAGGTGGGATTAGAATTCACCATCTCCTAGTTTCAAGCCTGTTGCCTTAACCACTAGACCAAACTGGCTCTTCAACCAAATGTTGATCTATTTGGTTGCGACAAGAATTGACCCACCGGTTTGTTGCCCAAAGCTGACCTTGGGTACATTTCCGCAAACTTTACAACCCCAATGAACTTAACCAGAAGCGTTGTGTGAATTGAACCCAGAAGTGTCTTAAACCACGAGACGGGTTCATTGAATTATAATTTCGTACCTTGATAGGCCAATCACACCACTGGAAAGCCATGGTCTCTCCCCCGTGCATATTTTTTACCTACAACTTGGCCAAGAAAGCTGTTGCTAGGACGATGAGAGTGCTCTGCTGTCTCAGATCCACAAGCTGTTAGCACAGAAATATTCTGTACCTCTGTGCGTGCACACCTTGCAAGTGTGAGTTACTATTGGTGCAATCTTTGATATGGTATGGTAGGGGTAGGGCTGGATGTCCAAGCAACGGAATTAAAAAGAAAGGATTTGGTTAGTATGTGGAGGACACCTAGTTTGGTCAGGGGACATAGCTATGTAAGTTGGCTTCGGAAAACAAAGAAGAATGGCTACATTTTAATAATGGTATTGTTGGGCTTCTGAGGATGAAGAAACAGAGAGGATCATTCCTAAGGGTTCTCTAGCTTTGCTCCAGAAATGAAATGTTGCTGGAATTGACCAGTTGGCCTCAGTGTAAGATGGTGGCGGTCCTTTATAGAGATCCAGGAACAGTCCTGGATGAAAAATCTGGGGATCACTTCATTCTTGCTAGCGCAGCTGGGGACCAATGTATTCGTCCCTTCCAACCTCTCTGAGTGAGGAGACCTCCAGGGGCTTTCTTACGGCCACTGCACACATGAGTGTGCTCCTGTTGGGTCACGGCCCGGTTGATTCCGGGCAACACGGACTCCCAAGAGGCCGGGTAGGGACTTTGGGCCGACCGTGAGCCATGTAGGGGTATTTCCATAAAGTGGCTGCCCGAGAGGCCAGTTCTCCTTCGCAAAGCTCTTCCCCCTCCTCCCCTGCCGCCTCTTGCCTCCTCCTCCTCCCCCCCTTCTCCTTTCCAGTTGCCTCTGCTTTTTTCCCTTAAATAATAATCATAAAAAGGTCAGCGGCAGGAGAGCTGCACACCCTGATTGGCCAAGCTCTGGGCCCTTTGTTCCAGCCGAGCCTCCGG